GCTTGCAGTTTAGCGATCTCCACTTCAATAATCTATTCTCAGAAAGGTGTAATTCATCAACTGTTCATTTACGACACAGAGAGAGAGAGAGAGAGGCTGTGCAACGTGATCTGCGTGTGTGACTGCATCAAACAGCTTCTGTTTCACACAAATGCTGGCACAGACGTGCATGTTCGGCTAGAGTCGCTTTAAACTCGTGCATCTTCGGAAGCGAAACGACGTCGCGCGCACTCAAAGCGAACTTGCTGATGCTCGAGTATAAATCCGCCTTAAATCAGCCTTGAGCGTGTGTGCGTTAGATACAGTAAAGACAGCGAGTTAGTTTAGAACTCTTCTAATTTATTTTATTTTATTGTAGAGAGAGTGTTAATTTGTGCAATGATAACCTACCAGCAATGTAAATTATTTTTTAAATATATTAGAATGAGTACATTACAATATACATTTATTAGAACAAGTACATTATTATTTATGTGCTTAAAAACAATATGCAAACAATCAGAAGATTGTACCTGGTGGGGAGTTCCCAATGTAAACATGAAAAATATGCAATTACCTATATTGTACTGTGGTACAGTTATGGAGGCCCTTCATAATGCAGAGGTCAACTACCTACTCTGCCAATAGTTAGAAATGGCACTATAGTAAGCAGTGTTTAATAAACAGCTGTTTTTCTAAATTCTGCTGAGGTGAAATTAAGTGCAGTCATGCATCGTGATACGTATCGTATCGTGGCCTCTGTATCGTGATACGTATCGTATCGTGACTTTGCTGGTGATACACAGCCCTACTGAATACACAGGTAGTGTGTATATATGGTAGATGAAATCGAGTCTCTTATTCCAAACTACAAAACTGGACAGTGCAGGAAAGGTTAAGTTGAGATTCAACAGAGCACAAGAAAATGTGTTTACACACCTAAAAAGTTTGGGGTTGGTAAGATAAATATATATATATATATATTTTATTTATTTATTTATTTATTTTTAAAGTAGTCTCTTACACTCACCAAGTCTGCATTTATTTAATCAAAAATACAGTAAAAACAGTAATTCTGTGAAATATTATTAATTTAAAATAACTCCGTATACTTAATGTAATTTATTCCTGTGATCAGCATCATTACTCCAGTTTTCAATGTTACATGATCATTCATTCTAATTTGATGATCGCTGATTTGATGCTCAAGAAACATTTCTTATTATTAATGTCGAAAACCGTTGTGGTGCTTAATATTTTGGGGATAAAAATAGGATGCATTTTTCAGGATTCTTTGATTAATAGAAAGTTCACCATTTATTTGAAATAGAACTCTATGGTAACATAATAAATGTCTTTAACATCACTTTTGTTTAATGTATCCTTGCTGGATAAAAGTACCGTTTCTTAAAAAAAAAATTTTTTTACCGACCCCAAACTTTTGAACGGTAGGGTATGCATGTGTGTCAGTGACAAGGACTATGAAACTCCAAGTAGAAGATTCCAGTGCTGAAAACCCCCCATCACGATCAACACACTCCCACTGCTGCACAGATCCAGTGTTTCTTGAAGACCCGGGGTTACCTGCCACTGACCCGTTATCAATGAGCTTGCACTAACTCCCTGAAGTTCATCTGTCAGTGAAAGTTTACATCTGCTCAGAAGGTTAAGTGTGTCTGACAGCTGTTTTCTTTGCTTTCCTGATTTGTGAGACTCACTGTTAAGGGTTGAATTGTATGTGGTTTTAGAGTTTCTTTGTGTCTGCTTCAGTCCAGAGAAGAGCATCACCTCTTTTTGCATCTTACAAGCAGCTCAGTCTCTCCTCCTCTTCTTCAACCAAACCCCTAGAGCAGGAAAAGAAAAATTAAAAACTCAATCTGCTTTTATTTTACCCAAAGCTTAGCCTGGGGCATCTGATACTTTTTACACCCTAGTAAGAGCAATGTTAAATCTAAATTTCATCTGCACTAGTGAAGTAATGGCAACTATTACAACCCCAATCTCATTGTCACATGGTTCAATGTAACACTAAACTAAGGATTATCTACAGGATATATAGATTATAAGGATAAGCAACTGTAGATCATGATGAAATGTCTGTTGAGAGGCTACACAGATGCTGGGATAAATGGTGTAGAGTCTGTAATGTTTTAAACTTGTAATGATGCTGAATGTGGCATCAGATACTCGTCGACAACCAGCATCTGGCAAAAACTACATTTGGGATTTTTCACAAGCCAAATGTTAATGGAGATGGCAGCACAGTGTCATTAGGGGTTTGTGGAGCAGACAGCTCTCTAAAATCTGCAAGAACATACAAGCCAAGCCTTCATCTCTTATTCATTATGGATGAGAAAGTGGCAGTAATATGAAAGTAGTATATTTAGAAAAATTTGTATATCTTATTGCAAGGGCCAGAAGGCACAGAGGTGTGATATCAGCAACCTGGCCTGTCGACTAAGACAAAACCGTCTCTTTTTGTCCATTTTAATTAGCTATTGTTTGTAAAGTGGTCACTTCCTAAGCCTCTAGGGGCAGGAAGTTCTATTTTAGGGGCATTTCAAAAGATTAAGGTTATGTGGTGGCTGCGTCATGCCACATACATCAGTGCAGATGGGGAGTATTCCCAATCCGGTGATGCCACAAAAAAAAAAACATGTTTAGGGAAGGAGGAAATTAGTTCATGCTTTCTGCAACTGTAAGGGAATGCACTTCCTGTGACCCGTCTTGGACTCAGGAACGACGGCACCATTCTAATGGCACTTTTCCACTGCATGGTACAGCACGGTACGGTTCACTTTTGGGGGGTTTTCCACTGGGTACAGTACCTGGTACTTTTTTAGTACCACCTCGGTTGGGGTTCCAAGCATACCGTACCGTTACCAAAACGTGACGTGTAAACTCTGCTGATCACGGATTGGCCGGAGAGAATCGTTACTACCTGCGTCACTGAACTTGCGACATAAACACAAAAGAACCGCTAGATTTAAATCAGCATAGCCAGCGAAGGATCGAACGCAACTGTTTTGAAAGAGCGCACCTTTTTTTAACAACCAAAAAGTGGCTGTTCCCCCTGTTGAGGAAGTACAGACGTTCCTCTCATTGATAGCAGAGGAGCGGATCCAGCGAGAGCTTGATGGGGCGACATGGAATGAAAAAGTTTTTTTAGGAGTCATGGCAGTAGAGGCGGCGCAACTATAACAACATGTGAATAATCCCGCCCATTCTAAAGCGATACTAAACTGCAGTGGAAACGCAAACCGAGCCGTGCCGTACCGAGCCGAGTCGTACCACGCAGTGGAAAAGTGCCATTAGATTGCTCTTCCTCATATATTGTGTCACTCATTTACCCTGCAGTGCAATGACATTAATTCAACAAACATATATTCTATAAAAAAATTTTTTTTTAAATGTTTTATTCATTAAAATATTTATTTTGTCTTTGCTCCATTATTGTCAAATTTACCATTTTCATAATAAAGCATAATCAAATTATATATTATATTCTACAAAGTATACATAGAATGTAACGATTTATTCTGTTGTGAGGAAATTCTGAAAAAAAAAAAAAGTTAAAACAGACTTAAAAGGAAACTGGGAGTAGTGCTTTCCTCTGGGGGGAAAACAAATATCACATGATATTTCAGTTTGTCTGTTTTACAGTCTACTGGGTAAAAAAAATATTCTGATCCCTTGTAATAGTAACAGCTATTTAATAATCCATTGTAATGGTAAAAGCACACCTCTGCAACAAGCTGAATGATTTACACAACCATTCAAAAGTTTAGGGTCAGTAATATTTTTTTATATATACTGTATATTAATATTTTTCAAAAGTTACAATAAAAGACATTATGATGTAACAAAAAAATTAAATTTCAAATAAATGCTGCTCTTTGAACTTTCTATTCATCAAAGAACCCTGAAAAAAAATATGTTTTCCACAAAAAAATAAAAATAAATTAAGCAGCACATTGTTTTCAACAGTGATAATAAATTTTTCTTGATCACCAAATCAGCATAACAACAAATCAGAAGGATCATGAGACACTGACGACTGGAGTAATGAATGCTGAAAATTTTGCTTCACATTACAGGAATAAATTACAATTTTAAATGTATTAAGATAATTTAAAATTTGTGAATTTAAATTGCTATAATATTTGACTCTTAGCTTTCACTTTTAGTCTATTTAACTTTTTACTGTATTATTGATCAAATAAAAATATGACCAAAAGATATTGAATCTTTAAATATTTCACTGATCCCAAACGTTTGAATGTTAGTGTTTCATGTTAATGTATGAGCAATAATAAAAGCAATGCTTGCCTTCACACAGCACCACTAATGATCGTCATAACATGCATCACCTGTAAGCAGCAATTTCTATGTCTAGATTCATCTTCTGATTCAGCCGTTCTTCATAGTCCCCACTCTGATCCTTCATCTGGAACTGAAGATCAGCCTCCTCCTCCTCCAGCTGACAAATGTAATTCTGAACAGAGACAGCACAGTGGTGAGATACTGAGAACTGCTGCAGTAGAATACGATCAGTGAGTGTTTGTACCTCCAGCTCCTCTATCTCCTCCAGGTATTTGGCTTTCTTGACTTCTATTTCGGCCTCCAACGCATCTCCACGCTTCTCCAGCTCGGTCACCTCTTTCTGCAGCTCTGCAATCTACAATCACACATATACAGCACCAGTAAAGATTTGGACACACCTGACTGAATGTATGTGTGTGATCTAAGGCTTGTGATTAAATGTTTAAAATTATGTACTGATGCATGCATTTTTATTTATTAAAAATATATAAAATAAATAATGGATGAGACAAGATGGTACAGCACAGCCAACAACCGTCCACAATATATTGGGAGCTCCTTCAATAATCTTTAAAAGGCATCTAAGGTGGCACCCTATGAAGTTGGCCAGAATGTGCAGAGCTATAATCTAGACAAAGGGCAGCTAATTTAAAGAAGCTAAAATATAAGAATGTTTTATTTGTTTAAAGGGGTCATATGATGTGATTTCAATTTGTCCTTTCTCTTTGGAGTGATACAAGCTCTTGGTGCATAAAGAAGATCTGTAAAGTTGCAAAGACTAAAGTCTCAAATCCAAAGAGATATTCTTTATAAAAGTTAAGAGTCAACCACGGCTACCTAAAACGGCTCGTTCTAACACGGCTCCACATGTCTACGTCACGATGTGGGAAGATTTGCATAACACCGCCCAATCGTTCACACAAAGAAAGAAGGCGTAACTTTTATTCTCACTGTAGTGTTTTGTTGTGAAAGTGAAACTACTTTGTTTGGACTTCCAAAAGAGGACGATATCCGCTTCGTCATGCCTAGAGCTGATCCGTGCTGGTCACTGAGGAAATACATCAACTTCACGCTGTGGATCGCCGGATCGGCTTTCACCGTGGAGCAGTGTCCAGCCCGGGGTCGTCACATGTGGTTGCCACAAGCCCGCCCGCCGCTCCTTCGTCGAATCCGCCGACTGCAAGGTTTTTAAGCCCGGTGGCCTCCATTTACTCTAGCCCAGCCGTCGCTCACTCTAGCCTGCTGTGTGTGACGCTGTGCGTTTTGTTGTGAAAGCGAAACTACTTTGTTTGGCCTTCCAAAAGAGGACATGACTAGAAATCAGTGGTTAAGTTGTATTTACAACACTTTTCCAGAACAGTTCAACCCAAATATTCAGATGTGTGCAGCACATTTTATGGAGGACTGTTTCCTGATCCTGGGAGAGTAGACTACAATGCTGGATGTTCTAACTCACAGTCTGTAAGTATGTTTTCATATTTAAAGGATTTGCCACTGACGATTCAAACGTGAGTTTTGAGCAGTGTAGAGTAGCGCTTGTTGTTTGTAATTTCTCCAATCACAAATGCAGACATGGTTTTATGTTTACGCGGCACGATTCAACGCAACGCGTAAAAAGACAGTATAAGTCATTATAATCCGTAATTATGTCTCCACTGGATGCAACAAATGCTTCGTTTATAATGGGTTTTAATGTTTTTGTCTCCTCGCTCCGGCCGGGACACGGCATTACAGTATGGTAAGGGGCGTAACATTTCCGTCACACGCTTGAGGTATTCGGCCAATCACAACGCACTGGATAGCTGGCCAATCAGAGCACACCTCGCTTTTCAGACCGATGAACTTTGTAAAAATCACCGCTTTCAGAAAGGCGGGGCATAGAGGAGAAACAATTATGTACAGTATGTGGAAAATAATGTGTTTTTTTTTTTACTTTAAACCACAAAACCACATTTTTTAGCAACATCACATGACCCCTTTTGTTTAACTTTTTATTGTCACTATATAATTTCCATAATTCCCATTGAGTTATTCCATGGTTTTGATGACTTTACAATGTGAAAAATGGTAAATAATTTGATTTAAAAAAAAGTATCAGTGTCCTTCACAAGTCTTTCACTGTGCATAAACAAACTGATGCAGATCCACAATGTATAAAAACACAGAGCTGAGCTTAACATAACATTGTTGTAACTAATGGTTATTTTGGTCTTAAACTAGCAATTGTGAGAACATGTCTGAAAAGAGTTGCTGTTTCATGTTGCATATTCACCCATCAACAAACACAATGCAGAGAGCTGTCAGCCACACCTCTGTGCATGAGCTGCCCTGCTGTGAGTAATTACTGTAATCAGGTAAGTTAAACAGTCAGCTGTCAGAGATGGATGGAGATTGCATGCTCCGTTTCTCTTTCAGGTAGATCATGGGAGGCTCAGAGCTCTGTTATTATCAAGCTGATGATACGTCAACTGATGAAAATGGTTATTCTGAGTAAGGCGGTCTGAACGTTACATAAACACTGGATTCAGATGTGCCTTGAAGCCTTCCTACCTTGCATCCTGCAAAGGTTTCCACCAGAGAAAACTAGCCATATCTGTGCCATAATATACAGCTGAATAAGAACTGATTTCACCACCAACTGTTTGTTTAGGCAATCTGTCTGAGAGCATCAAAATCACTAGTATTTATCCCTAATGGCAGGAGAGATAGGGTGACGAGTATATTATAGATGTGTCCAAAAACAAAGACATCTGCCATTGCCCAGTCAGTTCGAAAATACAATGATTTGAATTCTGCTTTTCTATGATGAGCATTTTTTCCATTTTATATTAGAATTTATGATGATCATTATGTTGGGGCATGGAATAAAAATAAATCCTTATAAAGAATAAAAAGCCTCATTAAAAACATGTCAAGCTCAATACGTCTCCTAAAATATCAGTTAATTTGACAGCAAGGCAAGGTTAGCTAGAGGTTGTAAAATGTCACGTGGTTCAACCCTTCAAAAACCTGCTATTAATGAATTGATAACTGATAACATTCGTAAAAGTCTAAAATAAAACTTAATAAAATATAATATTTTTATTTAGTTTTTATTTTTCTAAAAATACACTGAATTTTTTTTTTTAAATAATGATTAATTAGCGCATATGTTTTAAATTAGTATTTCAAAAGATATTTGCCTTTTCTTTATCCTGGACGCTCTTTTTTTGTCACTGACCCTTCAAATAGGCTTCCAAGACAACACGATTGCATGAATTCAAGCGAGTTTCATAGATCGTGAATATTTCTTGACTACAATACAACAGCTTCAGAAGCCATTATTCTTTGCACCAACCACTGAACTGCACAGAAAGAATTGGGTATCATAGGAGACATCTATGCTGCTTTCAAAAACTGACTGGTTGAAGGGATTTTAGAAGACAGAACGTTACATAAACACTGGATTCAGATGTGCCTTGAAGCCTTCCTACCTTGCATCCTGCAAAGGTTTCTGACACAAGCTAAGAAACACAACTGATAGGAGAGAAAAATACAGAGAGAATGCTGTATGAAAGGAGGAAGCAAGACTGTCCATCACTGATCAGGATCCTGTGTTATGAGAGTGAGCAGTGTAGTTGAAGACGGTCAGTTTATTTTAAGAGAGGGGCTATGACCACAACCACAATAATTAGAACCAAATCACCCTGTTTGTTATCTTAAATGTAAAGGTACCACTTGTGGCTAACCAACGATTTTCATGCTCTTCAGAACGTAAACTGAAGCAGCGAACAGCTCCTAATCATTACAAACATAAATCCTAAATGTGTTTCCTTTACGTGAATGCACCGTCACTTTTTATTTTCAACCTAAAGTTTCTCTTCCTGTCGGTGAGGGAGGCTGACAGGTGAGATTTTATTACTACGGCTCAGTGCGATTTGCTGTCTCCTGAGGCACTGCAGGAATGTGTGAAGTTTATGAAGTTTATGATTGGGGGAGATATGATTGGGGGAGAGAGTGCGTTGGCAGACTGTGAAATGTATTGTTCATAATGGAAGACGGTGAGAGAGATAAACACAGTTGGAGACAATACACTCCTCACATGCTCCTGGTCCTATCTCTCAGAATAAACACTCCTGGCAGCAGGAGTTCTCTTACTTTATTCCTCAGCTGTCAGTCTGACTGAGGATGCTGCATTGTGAAACACCATCCCCCACAAAAACTCCTCAGCTTTTATCCGCTCTCCAAAACGCTGATTTTCAGCATTAGGGCTGACACAGGAACTCACGTCTGATGCTGAGCTGCTGAGGTGGTGGGTGTTCAGGTCAATCATTTGAGTTAAGCTGTGGCCATGTACACACTGAACAGGTTTGAGAGTAACAAGCGCATTTATATGTGGGGCCAATTCCCCTAAATTATTGTTCTGTGACCACAGATTACAAGAGCATGAAACAGCAAGACAAATATAGACGAGTACCTCTATCCCTCAAAGGCTCATTTTTGTTTGCACAATAACAGACTAGCTAGGGAGTCACTGTCTCCTAAAATTAAACTTTTAGGAGCCAAATGACTTTATTTTACAAATTTCAAAATAGTTAAAATGGTTCGTCAGCAGCATTTGGTTTCCTTTCACTGTTATTCAATCTTGATTGTATTTATGACATATAAATGTCACTGCTTTGTACAAATATTTCTGCCTGTTTGTATAAAATATATAAATTGAATTATAATCATAAATTATAAAAAAAAAAGAATTTATCTTTAATCTCTAGAAAAAGTGCAACACTCACACAAATATGAATCTAACTTTATTTCTTTAAAAACAGTGACATTTCGACCAACTTGTCTGATGAAGACAATGAAGTAGGCTGAAACGCCATGTTTAAATGTTGCACTTTTTCTGGAGGTGAAATATTATTACTACCAAACAAAGTTTCCTGTACAATCGATTCAACATTATTGGATCTTACTACACTAAACAACCAATGATACTTTTAGCATATTTAAACATTTTCAGAATTCCATTTATTACAACAAAACTCTGTTGCAAATATTTTTAATTACAACAAATAATTCCCAGTTCGCTTAGAACCATCACTAATAATGACTCAGTTCAGTGAGGGAGTTTTTGTGAACTCAGTAACAGCTCTGATTCACTGAGCGAGTCCAATTCAACCTGCTAACTCGCATGCAAGTTCAAGACCATTCTGTACTGGTTCATAAGAATAATTTTTTCGTAAATCAGATGGTGTTCATTATTTCATGTAGGAAACAGTGGTGTGCACTTTAATGAGACGTCATCTGTATAAACTAAAAATAAGTTTTGTAGATTGCCACCAAAGGTGATTAAAATGTAAATTATTGTCCAAAGTGTGTTGATGAGGGTAACTCACTCACCAAGTTCTTGAGGATATTCACGTCAGTCTCTTTGGAGACATCCTTCACTTTCCTTCCAGTCAACTTAGCCAGCGGCTCCTCCTGCTTTCTAGTGGCATCAATGGCAGCAGCGCTCGAGGCTCTGGACTCAAACTGAAAAGCAGGAAAGGTTCACAGCTTTAAGTTTCTTGCATCTCTGAAGAAGAGTTACCACCCATTAAGTTCTGCAGAGAGCAGGCAGTGAAGATGAATCACAGATTATTCCCAGAAGAAAGAAGAGCCAATGAAAGCATCAGGTGAGCAGGTGCAACCAGTCAAAAATCATCCTCCAATTACTGTTCCCCCCAAATCCTAATCAATATCAATTGTGAGTGAAACAATTAGACCTTGTGCAGCGCTAATGAATCAGAGCACTAGTTTTTGGTTCCGAGACCACCTGAAAGAAAGAGCAGGAAGGGTGGTAAAGGATGTGTTTGTGCATGCGGGAGCTGGTTTTTGTGCACGTACAATTTTTTGCAGAAGAGCAGTTGTTCTTGGCCTGCTTATTTTACACCCACACACAAACACACACTAGACGTCTCTAATAGCCTATAGAGGCTCTCCAGTGTCTTCTTGTAGAAGTGCTTTCTTCTCCTCTCCAGATTCATTCTGCATAAGCCTGGGAAGGGCTCCAGAGCTCTGATTACCGCCGCAACCCTGGTCGAGAGCAGCCACTCCAGGGGCAAATGGGGTTAAAGGGCACTGGTGCTGTAGGATGACCTTTAGAGAGCCCTCTCTCCTCAAAAGACACAGAGGGGACATAGTGCTCTGTGCTAGATGTGGACAGAGCTCTCTGTCCCACAAAACCATCCACTGAAATAAAGTGTGAAAGAGGAAGGAAAAAAACAAGCATACCAGCCACACTGAGATGTGTTAAGAGGTTAGTTCACCCGTCATTCTTTACAAGGCATATGGGGCTTATTTATTCTTTCTAGACCTTTTACATTGCTTGATAGTGTCCATCTCAATTCACTTTCATAATATAGAAAAGAGCAGCTATTATGCTAAATTTCTCCTAATGCCACAGAATAAAGTACTTTATTTTTTTTTTTGGTGAACCAATCCTTTAAAAGGAATGTTTCAAGATGATACAAACTAAACTGCAGAAGCAAGTGATGTGACATGTAGCCAAGTATGGTGTCCCATACTCGGAATTTGTGCTCTGCATTTAACACTCTAAGTGCACACACACAGCAGTGAGTAGTGAATGCACACACACAGCGTGAACACCCAGAACAGTGGGCAGCCATTTTTGCTGTGGCACCCGGGGAGCAGAGTGCTGTACAATCACTCCCCCACCTACAATCCCTACCAGTACGGAGACTCGAACCCGTGACCTTTGGGTTACAATGCCCCACTGCCCCAATGTGCAACAATGTCGATTACCACAAAAAAATTATTAAAACAATAGCCCCACTTTCAAATTTGAAAGATGATATAAATTTAGACACCTTTATAACTCAAATATAATTTTTTTTAAACTGAAGACTTAACTTAAGTGCTTTAAATAATGAGCTTTACATTTCATCCTTTAAACCCCCTGGAATGCTGGTTTTGTGTACTTATACAACACAAAATATTTTGTGTACTCTCATGTGAATATATACTTGTAACTGCCTTACTCTAACTCTAACTCTTTTATGTTTATATTTTTAAATTATTTTCTATGGTAGTCAAATTACTGCTCAAATTAATGTTTTTCAAAGAAGTCTCTTTGAATGAAGTCAAGGCAACATTTATTTGTTCAAAAATACAGTAAAAACAATAATATTGTTAAATATTATTACATTTTAAAATAGTTTTTTTCTGTTTTAATATATTTTAAAATGTAATTTATTCCTGTGATGGCAAAGCAATTACTCCAGTATTCAGTGTCGCATGATCTTTCATAAATCATTCAATATGCTGATTTGGTATCCAAGACACTTTTCTTATTATTATCGATGTTGAAAAAAGTTGTGCTGCTTACCATTTTTGTGAAAACAGATTTTTTTTTTTTCAGGATTCTTTGTCAGGAATAGAATGTTAAAAAGAACAGCATTCATTTGAGACATATATTAACATTCTTACTGACTTTGCTGTCACTTTTAATCAATGCAATGCATCCTTGCTGAATAAATTTATATAAAAACTAAATAAATAAATAAAAAACTTACTGACCCCAAATGTTTGAACAGCAGTGTAAATGCGACAAAAAGCTGTCAATTTAGCTTGTACTCACAGTGTCAACAGTCATTGAGATGTCAGAGTCGATGTCTCTATCTGTGTGTAATTCACCTTGAGGTTCTCAGCCAGTGTGCTGTAGTACTCCTTGATGTCCATGATGGCTGGAGTGACATCAAAGGAGGAGAACTGCAGAGATACAGTAGGAGAACCTTCATCTGGAGTCCTGGGCTCACACAATTTCTCCAGCCTCTGTAGACAAACACAACATTATGACTTTTCGTTTTCTCCTCGGGTAACAATATCTGCCCGTGTGAGACAGGGCAGCCGTTCATTAATCTGGGCCTGATGAAGTGTTCATGAAAAGGAGATTGAGTCCAAGTCTCAGCTTGTTCTCCTCAACATGAATAATGAGAGAGCGGCAGATGTATCAAGATAATAACAGCAGTTAATAAAACAAGAAGAACTTCTGTTTTCATTTCATATGCCTGAACTGTGAGTTATGCTGCATGTCCCAGAGGGAGGTCAATGGAAATTTCTCTGTTTCCAGCACTTGAGTACCCGCAGACTCCCCATATATTCTTTCATTCTATGTTTTGAGGGACCGTGTTTCCTGTCAGTCTCCATTCCGCAAAACCTGTTCCCCTTACGATCAGAGGAGACACTTTAAACGGCCAAACCCCCACAAGACCATTCCAAGAATTCAGAGGTCTAAGGTAAAATGGCCTTTTCTGATAACTAAGAAGTAACAAGAAGAAGTGTTATTGATGCAACATTCTGCCTGGCCTTACCGTTTCATGCTGCCTCTCCATGGCGGCCAGCTGCTCCTCATAGATGGCCACTTGCTCTCGAAGGGCCAAGCAGTCAGTGGTAATTGCATCCACCTCCTGAGCGGGGAAGCAGAAATAAAGGTCAATTCAAACACAAAGCACTTACCCTCAACATCTTCTATCGTGAGCATCATCAGTGCCACCAGGTTTCCCCTAGCAAAGACTGCAATGCAGGGAAGAAGAGATCCACATATGTAGCCCGACATCCAACGGTTCAGAAAAAGCTACACTTTATTCGGCTCATCTGGGTATCTTAAGTGCCTGATTAATTGGCGATGAATTCAATTACTCAGAATGAAAACATTTGCATGTGAATTGCGTGTGACCGTGGGTCTGGGCGGCAGAGGAGGCGCATTGCACACACACTCTTCCCTGGAGCCCAGAATTGGCACAGTGGCCGCTGTTCCCGTTATCTCAGCAAGAACACAAGCCCAGTACTGGAGAGAGTCTAGACAGCGTTTCGATGCCGATTTGCTTCCTCTATTCCACACCGCCGAAGGGCTGAACTTCACTATGGTGGATGCATTCCAGTTAGATGCTTAAAATCATACTTTCTCATGCTATTTTTTTTTTCATATAACCACTGTTCTCACTTCTTTAAAATGCCAGTTCAAACCAGTTTAGTAAATCCAAACAAGTGAAGACACAAAAATGCATATAGAACGCCAGGTTTATGTCTCTAAAGTATATTAATTATACAGCTGCAACCCCACTTCTAAATTATCCTTCTGACTACCTCTTTGGTTCTATTCCTGTTTTGTTCTTTCCCTCCAACCCTCCTTACTCCTCTCAGCCCAGCCGGAGAGCTAAGCTCTGCTCTGTTGCATCTAGGAGATTTGAGAGGCTGAATGAGTGAATTATTAGGCATGGTGAAAGCTCTCTCACATCTGCTCTTTTACTGGAGATGTGCTCTGACATCTGTGGGGTGACGGAGTGGTTTCTACAGAAAGCAGCTCGGGTTTCAGAACGGCCACTGGCCGGGAGTCAGCGAGGTCTGTAATCAGGACTCTCCAGAGTGGATCTGGAAGCAGCAGCTGTGCTGTGCCACTCCAGGGACTTTCACACACCTCCACCGGCGTCAGAACACCCCACCCCACCCACTGCACAGGCTAACACTGCCATCTAGTGGTGGGGAAAGTGTAGAACTTTGCAAAAGTTCATTTAAAAGCCTATATTCCGGTGTATAAATGCATAGATTTGTATCTGGTGGGAAGGTGTGAGGTAGAGATTAAGGTTACTGCAAGAAGTGCATTTTTCTGTATTAAGTTGCTTTGGATTAAAAAAAAAAAACCTTAAATGACTTACTGTTTAAAATTGCACAGTGGCATCCAAAAGGTATTTGGACAATTAAGCCACAATTAATAAATGAATTTGATTGCATTAAACAATCAAACACCTGATAAACTTTCATAATTAAGACAAAATGTATGTGGATATTTTGATTGAATCAGTGTTGGTATTGTTAACTAACTAAAATGCAAACTTTTTAAAACCGTTTTTGGTAACTGACCTATAAATAAAATTGAATATTAAATGAAAAAAAAAATTTAAGAAATAAGTTGAAGTACTAAAAGTACTAAATCTGAGATAAAAAATAAGTTAAAGGTAAATAGAAATATATATATATATATATATATATATATATATATATATAAAGACAAAAGCTCAAAAAAATTACTAAAACAAACTAAAATTAAAATGCCAATTATAATAATAATAGTAAATAAAACTCAAATAAAAACAGTACTGAGTGTTTTGTGTTTGTCAGACTTGTCCATAGTTAATATGTCCACAGAGTAATGTAAAGTACACTAGACATATACTATATTTTTACTCATGATTTATTCTGTGTGAATGGGAAACTGACTTTACACATCCATTAAAAACGATCTTGGGGCAGTTGGTCTAAACTAAAAAAGCAAAAATAAAAGGAAAAGTGAAAAAAAAAAAACATGTATCATTTCTTTAAAGAGTGGGTTTGGTATTGTTATAATTGATCAAAAGCTGTGAAATTCAACTTTAAGTGTGGCTGAAATGTCCAAATACTTTTTGGGGCTTGTATATACACTGCAAAGAAAATAACATCTGCAGTATTCATGGCATTACCACAGAAACATCTTCTCGTTCTTGCTGGATGAGCCTCTTGTGCTCATCCACCTGATCATATTTCATCTGCAGATGCCGCAGTTCACCCTTCAGCTCCTCTGTGTTGCATAAAATCTCCTCCTGAGGGAAACAACAGGCCAGCAGCAATGAAAGAACCAATAAAATAGATCATGTACTAAAGAAACTATGACATTTGAGGAGAAAACACAACACAACTGTATTTAATTTTATCAAGTGAGGCATAAATGTGCAGCACCACCCAGGCCAGAGTTTCCGAGTGGTACCTTCTCTTTCCGTAGCCTCTCTATCACCGCCTCCAGACTGTAGTCCACAGGACTGCTGATGCTGATGGTGCTGGTGGAGATCTGCTCTGACTCCAGCCTCTCCTCCAGTTCAATAATCTCAGCCTCCAGAGACTCGTTCCCCTCTTCTAGACACCAAACCTACAATAGCCACACATAACTATGGTATGAAAGTAGAGGACATGTAACATACAAGAATAAAAGCTTATGCTCAAACTGTTGTATCATATTACACCACGGAGTAGAGGACACTGTGACTGTGGCATCTTCATGGCCTTAATATGATTTTCCTAATACCTTCAGGCAAAAGACTGACCCCATTAAACATAATGGAAATATGATAATTGAGCCACACACAGGGAACCCATTAAATCCAGCACGAGCACAGCAGGTTGTTACCCAGAAAAACGTAGGGTGTGTGTATGAGTGTGAAGATTTTCATACGTCTCACCACGTTGATGAGGCCAGCCAGGCGATCGTTGAGGGCAGCAATGACAGAGCGTTCATGGACAAATTGAGCCACACCCTCCTTGTTCAGGGCACGAGCTGCAGCAAAATCCAGCTCTGGACACTCACGCACTGAAACTCCACCCCTGTCAAACAGACTGAAAGCTTTCCCATGTCTGCAATGGCTTGTTTATTTTCTGCGCTAGCATAAGCAAACAATATTGAAGGAAAAGAGGAAATACTGAAGCACAAAAGAGCTTAACTAATAACACGTTTATGTAGTTTATTTAGAATTTAAAGCAAGAATAAAGAGTGAAGTCATTGTTACATGATTCAATTTAGAATTTTGGATGGATCGACATGTCTGGTTGCCAGATGTACAGTGTGTATATATATATATATATATATATATATATATATATATATATATATATCTATGTGTAAAGACAATATTCCTCCCATTGTTTTATAAGATAACCCTTTTTCATGGGCCATTTGAGTCTAATTACTCTGGAACATTCAATAGGTAAATATCATCCAAACAAATAAATGGAAAACATTTTTTTCAAATGTAATTTTGTTAAAACATCAGTTTCAAATTATTTTAAGAAACAATACATATACAGTATCTCACAGAAGTGAGTACACCCCTCACATTTTTGTAAATATTTTATATCTTTTCATGTGACAACACTGAAGAAATGGCACTTTGCTACAATGTAAAGTAGTGAGTGTACAGCTTGTGTAACAGTGTAAATTTGCTGTCCCCTCAAAATAACTCAACACATAGCCATTAATGTCTAAACGTCATATCCAGAGGTTGTGTTTGGGAAATAGACGTATGAGTGCTGCCAGCATTGCTGCAGAGGTTGAAGGGGTGGGGTGTCAGCCTGTCAGTGCTCAGACCATACGCCGCACACTGCATCAAATTGGTCTGCATGGCTGTCGTCCCAGAAGGAAGCCTCTTCTATAGATGATGCACAAGAAAGCAGACTAAGTTTGCTGAAGACAAGCAGACTAAGGACATGGATTACTGGAACCATGTCCTGTGGTCTGATGAGACCAAGATAAACTTATTTAGTTCAGATGGTGTCAAGCACGTGTGGCGGCAACCAGGTGAGGAATACAAAAGACAAGTGTGTCTTGCCTACAGTCAAGCATGGTGGTGGGAGTGCCATGGTCTGGGGCTGCATGAGTGCTGCCGGCACTGGGGATGTACTGCCAACATGTACTGTGACATACTGAAGCAGAGCATGATCCGCTCCCTTCGGAGACTGGGCCGCTGGGCAGTATTCCAACATCATGACCCCAAACACACCTCCAAGACGACCAGTGCCTTGCTAAAGAAGCTGAGGGTAAATGTGATGGATTGGCCAAGCATGTCTCCAGACCTAAACCCTATTGAGCATCTGTGGGGCATCCTCAAATAGAAGGTGGAGGAGCGCAAGGTCTCTAACATCCACCAGCTCCGTGATGTCATCATGGAGGAGTGGAAGAGGACTCCATGCCAAAGAGGGTTAAGGCAGTGCTGGAAAATAATGGTGGCCACACAAAATATTGACACTTTGGGCCCAATTTGGACATTTTCACTTAGGGGTGTACTCACTTTTGTGGCCAGCGGTTTAGACATTAATGGCTGTGTGTTGAGTTATTTTGAGGGGACAGCAAATGTACACCGTTATACAAGCTGTACACTCACTACTTTACATTGTAGCAAAGTGTCATTTCTTCAGTGTTGT